TGGAAACATTTACTCTCACCTCTCACTGTCATTTCAGAGAAGTTGATAAGGAGGAAGTGACTCAGCGCTCTAACAGGAAGACCACCTCTTTAGCAAACAGTCAATGTTCACCCTTCACCGCAGGGGATGATGGGAAGCCTGAGGTGGATGTGCAATCTCAGAAGGTGTCTGGGGACTCGGAAGGTGTAAATGACAGAGGGGATGTGGAGGATGCGCCACCGGATGGTTGGCCTCTACGCAGAGTCATATCCATCGAGGAGGACCACCTCCCCCACCTGTTACAAGGAGACCCTCACCTTCTTCTGCATCAGCTCAGTGAGGAAGAAGAAGAGCGAGCTGGAGAGGAAGAAGTTCAGGGGGATCTAGAGACGAGCTCTCTCTACCCGTCCAATGCGTCTCTGGCCTCTGCTGACTCTCCACCACCAGTTAGGTTGAAGAAGCCGTCTAAGAAGAAGTGGATCAGAGGAAACATGCCCTCGTCTGCACGGGGTCAGCCTGTCGGAAAGGAGACCCACCAGCAGGTCAGTGACGGGACATATCATTGAGTACCTCATTTCACATGCATTTACATATTAAAGTCCTAAAACCAAATAATTCTTAATTCAAAAATCAGAGACGGAGTGAAAGTGCAAGAGACTTTAAATAACATAATATGTGGATTTCGAGACTATGGCCCATTTAAGTGTAATCGTGTTTTTTATGTGCACTCAACACATCTAGCTGTTAGCTTTACTTTAAAGATGTCACTGTGTGTGTTTTTGGCTACAGGGTCCTGCAGAAGGTGCTGCCGCATCCCCTCAACGCCTCTTTAAGGTCATTCTGGTGGGAAACTCCAGTGTTGGTAAAACCGCACTGCTGAGACGCTTCTGTGATGGACAGTTTCATTCTGCCACCTCAGCCACTGTGGGTAAGTTGCTCTCTCCCTCTATGTGCAATTTACAATTTAACTTTGCACAAGTTGGTGAGTGGACAGGTCAGTTCAAGTGGGTTTAACAGATGACTTTGCAATGAGGGATTTTCAGTAAATGCAAATTGGTTTCCCTTTTACTGGAGTTTACCTTATTTGATCAGAAGGATGAATTACAGCAATCTCTTTTGTTATGATTTAAATGGTCTGTGCATTATTATTGTGCATACATTGTATTACTTCCTAATAGGCGTTTCAGTGCATTGGGTTTGAATATGTGTAAGTGTTAATGAAAACCTACTATGCTATATCAGATGGATTTCTTAAAGCAGGAAACATCACATGAAAGGGCTTGGGAAGTCACACTCCCTGCATTTAAAGCCTGCCACACATTACGCAGCAGATTATGTCAAACACCATCAGTTCACTTTATATCAAAGTTTCTAGGCTTTCACCCCTGGACTCTAGTGGCCCATAAACAACCTGGACGCTTAAATAATTCTGATTAAAAAATGTAATTGTATTAGTTACAAGTAAACCAAAATGGCAATTAACACTGGACTTTTCTCAGCCATTTTAGTTACTTTCAACCAGCTGGTCCCAAGTCAATTTTTAGTGAATGTTACTTTGTTGTCTTTCTTTGGAATAAATACAACTTGGTTCGATATTTTGCTCTATAATTCAATGACAATCATAAGCATGTGGCTAAAGTGTTTTAAACACCTGTATATTCCACACAGAAATATTACTCAACAGTAACCTCTAGTGGCCATTATCCCTCACTGCAGTAATGGTTTGTTGTATGTTTTGATTTTTAATAAAGGAACATGATTTCAGCAGTATTTTATATGCCTTTATTTTGTTGTGTATATTTTTATTTAGCTTTATGTGTGAAGTGCACATTTATATATAACTTCAATTATGTTGTGTTGTACAGGCATTGACTATAGTGTGCGGACTCTGAATTTGGGGGACAGTCACGTTGCTCTTCAGCTATGGGACACTGTGCAGGCCAAGAAAGGTGAGGCCCTGATACGAACATACAGGATAGTTTTGCATTTATATCTTCTTATTTAGGACATTTACATTCAGCTTCAGTTTGTATGCTTCATTTTTGTTCCCCAGACTGTGCTGTTATCCTTTAAAGCATCTCTAAAAAGCTTGTCGCAACCAAAACATGAACTCACTTGTCACTGATGATAAACATCCAGCGTGAAAAAATGCAATGTCACTGTGCTCTGCAGGTATCGCTGAGGAGTTTCTGGGTGTTTCTCCCTCATTTCTGCTCTGAGGTCTGATTGTGGCATTTCTTTGAGGTTTAGAATCCAGTATTCCTGTAGCCTATTGTTTCTTTTATGAATTTAATAAAGAACTCTGTCCAAACGGTTAGTGTACGTTTGTGTCCATTCGTTTTTCCTTATTTAACCCAAACGAAAATGAACGGTGGTTGTTTTTTAAAAATGCAAAGTTGAACACCATTTTTTTTTTAAATTTGAACTGTACACAAATGCTGCGCATAAAAAAAAATAGACTAAATTTCAGATGTTTGTTTATGACCTTTTGCCCCTTTATTAAACATTTAAAATATTCACAACTTAATACAAAAAAATGTAGATTTTAATGGTTTTCTAAGGCCAAATAACCTGAAAATTATATTTTTCCCGCAGTGCTGAATGAGAAGAGCCATAATTATTTTAGGCCTATGTCTCTGGAACCACAGCCTACAGAAAGGTGATTTAGGTGAGTTATAAGCTAATGATAATAAATGTCTGAAAAAATAACGAGGCATTTTAATTTTATTAATAAACTATTGTTTTCTAAATTAGTGTCGGCTAAAAACATATCTCCATCTCCGCTGCGGCGCGCCGCGCGAATGCACCTTTAGAGAGAAATGCACCTTTACGGATTACATAATCAGAAGGTATTAGCTTTCGATTCGAATTTGTTCGTTTTAAAGTGGATATTTCATGCTTTACCTTACATAGTAGCGCTACAGTTCACGGAGACCATGAAAGCGCGCATGATTGTTTTATTTTATTTTACAAAAGCACAACGTTTTCTTGTTATTGTGAGTTTACACAAATAAAAGCATAGGTGCGAATAATGTATTATTATTTTCTGTATGACCAGAAATGATAGAGTATTTTAAGTTGTTTCCACTGTTGATAGGAAAACGCAAGTGTTCGCGCCCGCGTCTCCCTCCCTGCAGCGCGCTCACACTACGCACAAACACTTGGATATGCGTCAAAATCTTGTGTTTATTGTGATAATCTTAGCCCTGTATTATTATTGTCTAACCATTATGAATGACATTTGACGAATTGCTTTATTCCTTTTTTGGATAAAAGCATCTTCTAAATATGTAGCCTAATAAATGTTATAATAATGATAATTATTAGCCTATTATTATTTGCGTATACCAAGGACCCCAAACACACCGCGTCTTCTAAGTCAGGTGACTGTAAATGCGCAAAACCTGTTTCCATTGCAGTTTTGCGAAATATTCCTTTTTCGAATTGCCTGAAAATTGACGTGTTTCCATTGAGCGTAATTTCAATTCGCAATTTCAATTTGCGCAATTTGAAGGGTAATGGAAACGCGGGTACCCAGCACTTTTGAAAATGCCCTTCCGAATGCATCTCTGTCCCCCCCCCCCACATTTCAAACCAAACTGACGCCCATGACTAAAATACATTTTATTTAAGTGCACTTAGTACACTTCCATAATGCACTTAAAGTGCTTTATTTTCGCGCACTTATTTTGTACTTAATATATTAAAAGCTTATCTTTAGTACTGCTTAAGATAAACTTAAGATCATCTTAGTGTACTCAACTGTGCTATTTTGAGACACACTGAAGATGAACTAAAGTGTATTTTAAATATACTATTTCAACTTTTTAATTTTTTTTATTTTGTTACCACTTTTAGTAAAACTGAAACCATCTGTAATACATTTTAAATACAATAATAAATTATTCAAAATATAATAATAATATATAATAAATATATACAAATTGTACTTATACTGTATTCCTAGGTTTAAAAAGTGCACTAAAATACATTTTATTAAAGTATACATCCATAATGTACTTAAAGTGCTCCATTTTAGCAAACTAATTTTGTACTTAATATACTAAAAGTTTTTCTTTAGTACTTCTTAAGATAAACTTAAGATCTTAGTGTACTCAACTGTGCTATTTTTAAACACACTGAAGATGAACTAAAATATGCTTTTAGCATACTATTTCAGCTTTCATTTTTTTTATTTTGTTACCCCTTTTAGTACAATTGAACCCATCTTTAATGCATTTTTAAATACATTTTTAAATACACTCAAATTATTTAAAATATAAGAATATATAATACAAATCATATTTATGTTGCTCACATATTTTTTATATAGTAAATAATTTATTTCAAATATATTTTAACTGTTACCCAAAGATTGTGGGTTTGATTCTCAATATCCTACCGGCAGGAAACGAGTGAGGTGCCCTTGAGCAAAGCACCTAACCCCCAATCACTCCCCGGGCGCCACAGAAAAATGGCTGCCCACTGCTCCGAGTGTGTGTCCACAGTTTGCAGCGTGTGTGTTCATTACTGCTAATGTGTGGGCACTAAATTATAGAATAAAGGAGAATAAAATTTCCGAGTATGGGTAACCATACTTGGCCTTAAAATGTTACATTCATCTACAGCCTGAGAATGGATTTAAAAGTAAAATGCCAGGCAAACAAGCAATATGCATATTTATTTATTGGTTAAAACACGCCTGACAACATAAAATAATGATATTTGATACAGATCAATTAACAGGGTTATTAAAAAGTTAAAAGTTAATTAATGCATCCAAAGTAAATGTAATTTTTTTTTTTAAAATCAGCATTATCCACTCATAAAAATTCAAGTAGCTGCCACCATGGTGAGGCTGTTACATCACATTTTTGTTTTATTTTGTTTATTTTGTTTATTTTTCAGAAAAGGCATTGTTGTTTGTTTTACTGCTATTAACAATGTCATAATAAACAATACAAAATCACACAGAGGCATATTCATTTAAATAAAAAAATAAAAAAACATACAAACCTGAGATTATATAATAATAGCAATTTCAATCAAACTCATAAGTGTTCAAATTTCTTGAACTGGCGTGGTCATTGAGCCGAATGGCCCCCCTTCTTTTTTTGACTCCTCCTCCACATCATCATAATCTGTTATTATAAAATCTTAATTAATGTTGTATTGAGTCTATGAATCTGGAAAAAATACTAACAATAACTTAATAACTTACCTAACAGGTTTCTCACATCTTCACTCACACTCATCACATCATCATAGTCCTCCTGAACTCCCTCTGATCAAGAATGACATAAAAAAACATCAGAATATAAAACACTTTTGCTGCGTCCTAATTCAGAGGCTACATCATTCGAAGGCCGATTGTGTCACCGTAAACCGACGAAGACTTTCTCCCTGTCTGCTTCAAATGCGGCCTCCAAATGTACCTTTGTTTCCTGTGAAATGAAGGATACAACAGACGGATCCTCCGTGGCCTTGCCTAGCCCAGAATGCATTGCGCTCCGGTGACGACAGGATTTTTGTAGAAAAATTGCCGAATTACACTTTTAAATGCAAGTATTGCCTTTCAGCTTACTCAAATATCTAACGATTCAAATGTAAAAATAAAAATAAAAAACGTTAAAGCGGTTCAAATGTTGACATATCTTACTAAGATGTGATTATTTATAGTTTATACTCTTTATTATATAGAAATGGACCATGGTGAACATATTTAGACAGTTTGTGAACCCTGTTTTGGTTTCAGACAGTTTGATATAACTTTCCAAAAAGTCCAGTACAGACGTTACTGCCGCTCATCAATGTCAGCTGTCACAGTTGCTAGGCGACAAGAACAATCCCCTGTAGACCGTCCCATTTAACAATGTTCCTTCCGACCTTCGTGGCCTTCAAAGGATGCAGCCTCTGAATTGGGACACATCTTTTATCTTATTTGAAGGATCATTTTTACCTTTAAGTGACTTGATTATACACAAAACTCATGTCTAATACTCATTTAAACATGTAAGGGAGAAAATAAAATGTAGTTCTGTTCAACCCACCTATTTGCGAGCTCTGTCCATTAATGATGACATCATCATAATTCTCTAGCATGTTAACTACACGTGCAAATATAAGCCCAAAAAAGTTAAATAGAAGCCAAAAAACATTAAGAGAGTAATTTTAAAAAATATTATCAGTTATGAGGTTTATTTTAAAGGAATATTTAAAAAAAAAACAATTAAACCTTTTTTGATATAAGAGTTCTGTCCACTGGTGATTACGTCATCATAGCTCTCAGGCGTGTCTTCTACAAAATCACACATTCATCACAAACACACAGATTAATCACATTCAAAATACTTTTTTAATCAGATAATATACTTAAATAACTTTAATATACTGAAGTATTTCAATATGCTATTATAGAATAACAGAACGACACCTGTCTCACGATCTGGTTTCAGTCCATCAGTGATGACATCATCATAGTATCCTGGTGTGATATTCCACAGAATATGTTTGGATACAAAACCCAAAATATGTTCTTGTTGCAGGTCATGAGACCAAAGTTATTAATCATCTGGTAATAAATCATGTGATCAATTAAAAAGGTCACTGACCTTTCAGGCCACTGCTATTGGTGACATCATCATAATATACAGTCTTGAAATCTTTTGCTAAAAAGGAGAACAGAATGTTGATATATAAATAAACAACAGTATTTAAAAGGTAAAGTGTCATTAGTCAAATATTTATTAGAATTTGTTAATTACATTTATTTATTTAGGTTCGTTTCAATGAAAAAGTATTTTGGATGGAATGAATATGCGCTTCTGCTGTCTAACCTGAGAGAAGCTCATCAGCATCTTCATACCTAGAATGCAGTTCTTCAGAGACGAGACTCCCTCCTGTTAAAGGAGAGAAAAACAGTCAAAAAACATGTCCATCATCACAAACAGACTGAATCCTCATTTCCATTGGATCATAAAACTCTTACTTTTTTAAAAACATTAGAGGCAGAAATCTCATGTTTGTTTCTGTTTGTTTTCTGTTAGGCCTATTAGAAAACACACATGTATCCTCACATGAACCCATTCCTCACTGCCTTCCAAAAATACACACAGGAAGAAACAAATACACACACACACACACACACACACGTGCACAAACACACACACCTTATTACCCTCTAAAAATACAGACAGGAAGAAAGACACACACACACACACACACACACACACACACATAAACATGCACCTGCAGCTCTGTGGTTTTCTTTGAGGAATTCTCTGGTTTGAATCAGGAGGTTTAACAGGACTAATAATAGATGAACATCAAGTGTCTGACAGACTCTCTTCATAATCATATTAAATAAGTTTCACGGCTCATGTCTCACCTCTCTGAGTGAAGTGATTGTGTCTGTGATGAATCTCCTCATAAACGGCCTCAGTCGTCGCCCTGTGTCTCCTCTTAGAGAGAGCTGTGAGTGTAGACAGACAAACCTGCTGTCAGTTCACAACACATGACTGATCACACACTGAATAAGACACAATATGACAGTCTCTGGATCTCTCCTACCTCTCCTCATCACTCTGTTCTGCTGAACCAGTATAAGCAGTGGCACTAAGAGCAGTAAGAGCAAAACTCCCAGTACAACCACAAGCACAGAGAGAGACGCTGCTGGAGGAGTTTGTGGAGGAGTGACTGATGTTGAGCGCACTGTCTGAGAAACTGGAGGAGAAGCTGATGTTGTTGTGGCAGGAGTAGTGGACACTGACAAATCTGGCAAAATACACACAAACACATTCAAAATCATGCAAATAGACTTAGATTATTAGCATTAAAATGACTAATATTGTTCAGTGTGTTGCAGTGACCTGCACATGTGAGTCCAGCGTGCTCTTTGTGAGAACAGTCAGTGTGGTTCTTCAGGGAGAGAGGACAGTCCCACAGGTGAATCTCATTCCCTCTGCACTCGACTCTGTTCAGCCACACAACACCTTCACCAGCACCAAAGACTGAATTCCCATCAGCCCTCAGTGCGTCTCCACAACCCAGCTGCCTGCAGACCACCTGAGCATCGCTGATGTCCCACAGATCAGCACAGACTGAACCCCACACAGCGTTATGATACACCTCCAGCCTCCCAGAGCACCGGCCCAAACCTCCACTCAGTCTGAGAGGAACATGATCTAAAACACACACAGCAACATCACTGACCAGCAATTTACAATGCATTTTATAACTATTTAAAGTTGTGACAAATTATGAATGTGGAATGTGGATTCAGTGTTCAATTGCACAGAAACGAATACTGTGAATAAAGAAAATACATCCTTTTAATTTTCTTACTTGAACACTGTCTCTGGTGAGGAGATTCTGAGGTAGAACATGTCAGACGACTCCGAGGAGATTCACGAGTCTGCTCCTCTAAAATTAAAATGTTAAAATTTAACTCAATACTGAATAGAAAAATTATAAATAATAATAATAGTCATACTGTTATGTTCCACGTGTGTTTTTGTATTTTGAATTTTTTCCTCTTTTACTGAAACAAACAAACATGACATTTTCCAACTATCTTAAATCAGTTAAATATGATATTACCTGAGCAGGTGATTTTGGCCACTTCATTATCACAGTCATTCTGTCCCCATGCTGAAGATTGACACTGCCATAGAGTGGAATCATGACGTCGGCAATTAAGTTTATCCAGCCAGTTATGAGACTTCAGTCCCTCTGAATTACTGGGTTCACTGCCAGATTTTCCACAGTTCAGCTCCTGACAGATCAGACTCGCTGTGTCTCTGTCCATCTTGTTGTAACACACATTTCCCCAGGATCCATTGTAGAAAACCTCCACATTCCCTTCACAGCCCTCAGTTAACCTGATCTCTTTAAACTCTAGATGGAAAAGGATGAGATTGTGAATCAATGCATTAGAACAATAGCTGTTAATGTCTAATCACTGTCTTTTAAGAAGAAGGCATACAGTGAAATAATTGGTCTCAACTTTACATATGATGGAGGACACTAAAACCAAAAATGTGGAAACATATTTCATTCATTAGTGTATAAATATATAAAACACTACTTTTGTTTTAAATCGCTTGCACAAAATTTCTGAAACTTTGACTCTTAATTTTTTTAAACTCTACACACAAAACCACAAAACATGCACACAAGATCCAAAACATCGCACATCTCTTGCAAAAGCAAAGACTTCATTTAAATCTATATTACAGTTTTTTTTATTATTGTTTACACACTTTGTATTTGAGGCTCATTAGCGTAACCATTCACTCATATACCTAATATTCAGACCAAGTCTGCAAAACTGCAAGCAGTCAATGTGAAAAAATGTAAAACACTGAGTCTATTGTCTCTTTTGCTTGTTCAGTGTGCAGTGGAGTGTACAGGAGTTTCTCACACTTACATGTATGTGCACAAATACTGTATATACAGTATGATTGCCAGAGGCGGACAGAGTACAGAGCTTTGTTACTTGAGTAAAAGTACAGATACCCCTTGCTAAATTTTACTCAAGTACAAGTAAAAGTACTTCATTCAGATGTCTACTTAAGTAAAAGTACTAAAGTACTTGTTTTTAAAAGTACTTGAGTATCAAGAGTACAAGAGTAGATTTTCTAAATATTGCATTACTAATCTACTGCCACAGTGCTTACATTTATGCACAGAAACGTCCTACATGGAAAAATGTTAATGTTAATACCTTGGAGAATGTAAAAGGAATTGAAAGTAAAATCAAGACATTTTCATCTTTTTACCATGTTGCTTTATGTTATTTAATTAAATTTTTGGGGGGTCCCATCTTTAAATGCGGGGACAACACACACACACACACACACACCACATGTAAGGGTTGCGCTGCCAATAAAGCACCTAAAAGCTGTCACAAAGAACCGGCAAAAGGAATGATTATGAATATGTAAAATATAGCAAGGAGATATTTTAATTGTTTATTAATAAACACTTGTTAATAAACAAGTGTTTTCTTTGTCAGTGTCGGCTAGATGAAGTTGACGATGCTGACTCGCAATCTTCAGTAGTGAACGCGCCAGAGAGAAATGCACATTTAATACGGATTACATAAGCAGAGGGCAGTCTGTAGTCGGTTTTCTTTCGTTTTGAATTTTTCTGTTTAAAAGTAGACATGTCTGTGAGGCAAGTAGGCTACCTTATACACTGAGTTTCGGTTCATTTATGAGACGAGATCCAGTTCACGCGCCGGCGCCTCCGTTTCTTATCTATCGTCTGCTATTTACTTCTTGTTTATTAAACCCAGGCATTTGGTTGATGAAACATTGATTAAAATTAAGATACAATTAATGCAAAACGAAATTCAGGTTAAAGAAAGGTTTTGTGTTTTCTGTTTGATGTCTCTGAAAGCGGCATAAAAAATGCTTTAAAACTTTCACAGAGCGCTCACATCCGTAACGGAGAACACGTCCATAACATTGTTTTTTCCTCATAAATGCAAACCCGAAAAATAAAATAAAACAAAATTAATATTTTATGTACTGTGGAGACTGAGCGCCAACCCTTCTTAATTCCCTGGGTAGTAGCCTACTTTGGTTTGCGCAGTGTAATTCACATAATCAGTAAAAATATATTTTGCCTCCTAAAGTTTTTTTTTTTAAGAAATCAGAAATCCCTCGTGGCTACGCCACTGCCACATTTGAACCTGACTGTGTTAAACACACCACATACTCAAGAACATCAAACCAAATGCTTGGCTTACATTAATGTGTAATATAAAATCTGACCATGGAGTTGACTTTGGCGGAAAGCTGAAAGTGATTGCTGATAGGCTGTCCCAATCAGTGGCGCCTGCACAATCCAATCACGTTTGAGAGGGAAACAACAAATTGAGGGTTTCCGAGATTTTTCTTTTTTTTTTACTCGGGTACTCACGGTTATGAATAGAAATGTATTGGAGTAAAGAGTACAATATTTGCCTCTCAAATGTACTTGAGTAAAGTCATGAGTACTCCCCAAAAATGATACTCGAGTAAAGTACAGATCCCTCAAAATTGTACTTAAGTACTGTACTCAAGTAAATGTACTCCGTTACTGTCCGGCTCTGATGATTGCACACTCGATAAACTTTGAAGTCATTGAACTGAACTGAATAATGAGACTATTAGCTTGTTAGAGGTACAGCAGAATTGGAATTTGTTACAATTGTGAAGCTTCTTTGACACAATCTGTATTATATAAAGCGCTACAGAAATAAATGTGAATTAACTTATTCAGTATATATATATAAAAAAACAGAAATCCAAGGGAAAAAAGTTTATTTGTTTATGAGTTTTGATTTCTAAGTGATCAAATTAGGTATGTTTAAACTTTGTCATATGAGCGTCAGTAGTTGTAAGATGTATGCCTTTCATTCACTCAAAAGAACCAAATCACTAAAGTATTTGTTCGGAAATCAAACTACATCTGTCGCACTGTGTGTTTTACGAGTTCACACTTACAAATGATTAGCTAGAGTAAAACAGTATGAGTATTTGGCGTGGTGTCCGAGGCAGAGCTCCGAGCTCAGAATGCGGCCCGAACCTAGAGTTACTGCCCACCAACCCCCACCCCCATCGTCAAGATATTATTTTACTGTTCACCTGAGCACACGACTCCTACATCCTCCTTGTGTTGACAGTCATGTTTCCCCCAGCCTGGAGAAGAGCAGTTCCACAGGGACGTCTCATTCCCCTCACACTCCACCTCATCCAGCCATATGGGTCCAGAACCAGGACCAAACCAGGCTGGTACCTGCTGGTTACTGAGGGCCACTCCACACTGCAGCTGTCTGCACACCACATGGGCATCTTTAATATCCCAGGAGTCATCACACACTGTCCCCCATGAGCCGCTGTGAAAAACCTCCAGCCTCCCTGCACAGTCTCCCCCAGAACCCACCAGCCTGATGGACCCGCGACCTGATATTCAGAGAGAGAAAAACAGTGCTTGTACATGCGCATTATTTATCATCAATTAAAGTATCTGTCCAGATGATGATTTTCTCACCAAAGTTTTTGATTGACAGCTGTTGTGTGGAGCTGCAGTTGAGAGTGTGTGGAGAGCTGCAGTTTCTCAGATGAGCTTCACTCTCTGGAGAGGGTATTTATTTGCAATTCAGTATTTATCGAAAATGTATACTACATTTTAATCTGAAACAATGACTTCATCACGGTGTGAATTTCCTCACCAGAGCAGATGACTTCAACAGCTCGTCTATGAGAACATTCAGCTCGACTCCATGAAGAGATGGAACATTCTGAGAGTTTTGTTTCATTCCCGTCACAATCAAACACATCAGCCCTGATTTTACCACTTCCCTCTCCAAACCAGTCTGATCCCACAACAGACACAGCAATCCCACAATTCAGCTGTCTACAGAGGACACTGGCAGCTCTCATATCCCAGCATGCATCACACACTGTGCCCCATTCATTGAGTAACCGAAGCTCCACTCTTCCAGAACAAGAGTCTGAGCTGTTTACCAGTCTGAGATCTGTGTAACCTGTGCAGAGAACTGAAAGCTTATTTAAACATGAAAATAGAATCCAGATAATTGAGCAATCCAACATCAGGATATTAGGAATGTAATTTATCTAAATAAATGCGAAATGTTTATACTTAACCAGAACAAATCACTCCAACATCATTGTCATGGGAACAGCTGTGTATCTGTGAAGATGATCGTGAACAGAGGTGAATCTGAGACTCATTTCCTCTGCACTGAATCTCCTCTGACCAAACTCGATCCTTTCCTTTGCCAAAAGCATCTTTTCCCAGCACCTGTACAGGAGCTCCACAGTCCAGCTCTCTACACACAACCTCTGCATCCTGCTGGTCAAAGGCAGCGTCACACACTGTGCCCCATCCTTCTGTACGAAACATCTCCACTCTCCCAGAACACAGGTGAAACCCGTCCACGAGTCGAAGTCGTTGCTCTGAGTCTTTGAATTATAAAGACAGATCATTAATTAAACATCTCTATTCACCTGGAACACTACAAAAATCTGTCATTAAATTTTGACATTTTATATTTCATTAATTCACTTAATCTGAATTTATTTTATCTGTAATGTTATCTTTCATCTGTAATTTTATAATCTTCATTAAATAAAGAATGTAAATGAGATTGTCAAATCAGACTGTGAATAATAAATAAGACGTTAGGCCTATTTAGTGGGGATTCTCTGCATCGTATTTTATTATAAGAAAATAAGGAATGGGGATAAATATATCATGAACAAAATAATGAAACACATTGCATGTTTCATTAGTTTTTCTGATGAAGTTTGTCCTCACCGGCATACAGAAACATTATATTGCTTGAGTGAGAATTATGAAAGAGTGATGTAATAACAAGCTGAGGGACAGCTTACCTGAACAGACGACACCAGCATCTTGATCATGATTACAGTACTGTGGATATTTATCTGATCTGCAGTCTTTCAGTGTAGTCTCTGATCCACTACACTCTACTAAAGCCATTGAAATTGGTCCTGATCCACGTCCAAAATCAGCTTCATATGTTGCTTTTACAGCCGTCCCACAGTCCAGCTCTCTACACACCACTGCAGCATCAGCAATATCCCACCAATTATGACACACTGTTCCCCACTGACCTCTCTGAAGAACCTCCACTCTTCCAGCACAGGGATTATTGCCATTCACCAACCTCACACTCACACTGTCTACACATGAGCGACAGGGAGACAACTAGTAAATATACCAATGTAAGTGTAACAGTAAATTATTTCACCTCATATGAAAGAATAAAGCACCTCTTTATGTACTTACCAGAGGTGGTGAGTTTTACCATATAGCACAGAAACATCAGCATCAGAAAGCTCTTCATCTTCTGCTCGACACACACTCGTCAGCTCAGAATGCAGCACAAGTTTCTCCTCTGCTCCCTCACACACACACACTAAAGAAACTGGCTCCTGTCAGTCCCCTAAAGAGAGAGAGACTCTCACAGCTGCCAATGACACTCACTGTTACCTTATTAGACACAACAGAGGAAATCATCAAACAACTTCAGTGACAAATCAGAGGAGGCATTTCTGATTTTCTCCATATATATCAAGAGAACATCTGCGCTGATGAGCGGGACTCCTCCTCCACCATGAAAAGACACTTCACTGAGGATAGAATCATATATTTCATAAGTCAGGATGGAGATAAAGTCACACAACTTATAGGAGATTGATATAAAAATACTACAGGTTATATTCAGCATCAAAGCCTCCGCCTGCACACAGGAGATACAAGACTGGTGACTGATTTATGAAAGTCTAATCACTTCAAACACTTGTAACTTAGTAGAAAACTTAGTAGAAGTAGAACAATTTTTTTCATGAGTTATTTGAATAAATGTAACATTTTAATCTCATTGTTTGTGGAATTTACTGCTTTGTTCTTTTATTCTAAAAATACAATTTTATTACACCATAGTATCAAATTGTTCTTTTATACTAAAAATACAATTTTATTAAACCATAGTATAAACTATATTGTTGCTAAGCTATTCAGATGTGTTTTTATTAAATTAAATATTATCTGCATAAATAGGTAAACCTATTAAAAAAAAAAATAACAGCAATGGATGTTCGTTTAATGCTGTATTTGTCCAGCAGATGGAAGCAAAACACCTTCTAAAGACTCTAGTGTTGCACATGAGGGATGGCAATCAATGGTTTTTCTTCACTTATAGCAACATTTATAAGTAACTTGTTTCATGCAGTAGAGCTCATTTCACTGCACATTTATTTTAGACTTGATCTGCTGTTGGGCCACTCCACCGAATGGGTGACATTTGCTTGTTGCAACTTCAAAATTAAACTATTTTTTTTTTATCTTTTTTCAACACTGAATCTAATACTTCACATTTAACTATTCAAAACGTGTATTGGTCAATCTCAGGCAACTTTATTTTTCTTATTTTTTACAAGATTTCTAAGTAGAAGATGGACGCATGTTTAAAAGCATGCCAGTTAAATTCCTTTGTTTTCCCCTGCAGTTAAGTGTTTATTTTAAAGAAATTGTTGGTTATATGTTGGTGATATTTGTGACAAAAAAAAAAAAAAAAAAAAAAAAAATCACTATATATTACTGTAAGGCAAGGTGTGTGTTAATAAAAAACACAAAGCCATTTTTTTATTTTAAAGAAGACCGAAGCCTCAAGTTTATACATCTTTTTTTATAATTTAATTTATTAAACAATTGTATAAATGATGATAAACTGATAAACTGATAAAAACAGTGGTTTACCTTTATTTTTTTAAGAAAAAGAAACAGGACAAATACTTATATTTCAAATACTTATGAACATTGGGTAACAGGAATGAGTGTCCATATGTGTGTGCATGTGTGTGAGAGAGAGTGTACATGAGTGTGTGCATGAGATTTCTGTTGAAGTGATGTACTCTGTGCCAGTAGTACTTCACAGTGAAGGGGGTGGAAAGAGAAAGAAGGAGAGAGAGGAGAAGAGAGAGGGAGGGAGAGAGAGGGAAGTTAAGACAGAAAGAGGGAAAAGAGAGGTTTGCGGTGTGTTTCGCTCTTTCCCTTGCAGGATGCCATGGGTGGGTGTTTCTGGCACCTGAATAGTATGGGTTCTCTCCATCTTCTACAAAATATAAGACAAAAACAAAAAGTTTAAGTCACTTCGTGGTGGACTGGTTCCCTGGAAGCATGGTATTCACATTGTAAAACTAATACTAATGTCTACAATTTAAGTAATTGCAACCTTAAAACTCATAATTCAGGTGAAAAGTATTATATCAACTAATATTTACAATATTACGTAAATCAACAAAACAGAGGACTCTACTTACTCCTGTTACTTTAACTTACTCCCTTTATTTTTCATATGAGTAACAGGACTGAAAGTAACAGGATTGAGTTTTTAAGAAAAAAGTTATCAAATACATGACATATGGCCACATAGCATTCATGCTAATAGAATGAAGACACTAACTGGCAAATTCTGGTGACTTACCAAAAGTTAATGTTTTTTAAATAAACAAATAACATCTAAGAAACAATTTAGGTAACAGGACAGTAGCCTATTGAGATCGTCCTTGTCAGTCATATTTATTTACAATTTCTTCAAATATACAGAAATTAAAATAAGAGGACTTACTTATGGTCTTCCCATTGCCTTCAGACATAGACAGTAAAAGACGATCCAGATGATGCTACTTCCTGTTGAAAGTCTTGTGGCATGTACCAAGTTTTTCAGAGGAGGGAATGTGTTAGGGTAACAGGACTGAGTGAAAACCTGCGGGGACACGACTAAAATGTGTATTTTATCTAAGATATTAGATTAAATATTTTTTTCTCATTAAAAAAAACAAAACATTTTAAGCATAATTAAATACAACAATGCAACAAAAATAAGATTTCTGAAGGATTTTAATCATTACTCTATATGGTAAAGTTTAGAGATAGAGAGTGGGGACATGCAACAAATGCTATTTTTTTGTTGTGTTAGTTTTTATGAATGTTTTTAATTATAGGCTACATTTTAAATGTGCAGTTAGCTTAATGTGCGGTGTAGCGGCACATAAAAAACAAACCAAAAGCCGCTAAGGAGCTGAGTGGAGGAATGACTTCTGTGACGCGTTTATCCATGAAGCTTGCATGTTGTTTTATTTTGTACAGGTTTCACGTTTGCAAGGTCAACAAAATATGTGCTCCAGCACTCACCCCCATTCTTCCATATGAACACACACACACAACAGGTGTTTTAACCCCACTTAATTAATGACACTCCCATTATAGTTTGGTCACATGACTTTCCCATTACATGGCTCCTACATACCAGCCCCTAATTATTATAAATCGATAATTATATTAAATACACATAGGAGACATTTATAAATACAAGATCTCAAAATACAAAAACATTTTTTTTACATCAATCATAAATGTTTGCACATTTACAATACATCAATTATTCAGTACTGAGTCCTTGTAAAGTCCATAAACGTGTCAGCACAGAGTGAATTTACAAATCGATGCAAGGTGAGAAATATGTGGTGTGTCAATGTGATAAGTGTGATAAGTCCATGTCTGTGTTAAAAAGTAATTCTCTTTCAAGGAAAATGTCAAATATCCACCTCTTGTAGAAGGCAGATTTTTGTCACTGGTCTATTCAAACAGTTTGTCTTGGTTTTGTCATGATTCTGCCCTCTTGTCATTTCATTTTCTCTAGTCTTGAGGCAGGATCATGACAGACCCATGTTTTGTGTGCAAGCACATGGTCTTGTGTTTTGAGCCATGTGCTTGTGTTGTCTCGTTATGTTACCCCGCCCCCTTGTTATCCTCGTCTCGTCATTATTGTCTAGTCAGTTTCACCTGTCCTTGTCTAGTCAGCTTCACCTGTCTTTGTCTTTAGTGTCTCCCTATTTAATCCCCTTGTGTTTGTTGTCCTGTGTCGGTACATTGTCAAACATTGTGAGTTATTCTCTGTGAGTATTTTGTCTGAAACCTGTTTATTGAGAATTGTGAGTTTGTTTCCTGTTAAGTCAGTCTTCGTTTGTCATCGTGTCTTAGTCTACCTCCAGTCCTGTTTTGCCCCATCGTGGGTTTTGTTTTCTGTTTTGTCATCATTAAACCCTTTTTGAGTTATTTGCTGTCTGCGCATGGGTTCGTTCCTCCATCCACATAACAGAATGTACCGACCAACGCAGAACTCAGCAGACTGTTTCTCTTCCCCTGGAGATCAGCAGTTGGATCCTCTTGAAGATTGGTGGCTCAAGACCATGTCCGACTCGAGGGGGGGCAAGCTCCCAATTCCCCCTCAGGGTGATCTGCTGTTGAAGGAGTACGCTCAAGTTGCAGAAAAAAGGAGGTTTTTCTTACCTGACATCCTCCTAAATCGCTACTTCATCGCTGGCCTCAAGGTTTCCCCACCTCTGGCTGAACGAGAGAGGCTGGTTCACCGCCCGTTCCGGGACATGGTGGACTGTCTGAGTCGAAAGGAGCCGCAGGGTCCCTCCGTGTTGTCGCCGCCAGCCAAGCTGCCCTTGATTCCGGAGGATCGGGTCCTGGCTGTCGTTTCTCAAGGGGAGCAGGCCCACTCCACTTCTCCTGAGGTCTCATCCACACCCGTTAGTCTTCGTGGAAAACGAGGTAGACGGCTGTCGTGGGAGTCGGCGTCAGAGTCCTCCTCCGCAGAGTCTGCTGTACCTGCGGTGGTTTCCGCTGAGCTTCCCCAACCCGTCTCAGCTTCTCGACCTAGGAGAAAGAGGAGGAAGAGGGGAGCCTCCCGTTTTTCGCCCGCTGCAGTCACAGAGCCCGCTGCAGTCACAGAGCCCGCTGCAGTCACAGAGCCCGCTGCAGTCACAGAGCCTTCCGAGTCAGATTTGAGCGCTTCATCCGAGTCAGTTTTTATGTGTGCCGAGTCTGATTCTGTGAGTTCGGTTCCCGCTCCACAGCCGTCTGCTACGTCCCCTGTTATGTGTCCTGTTCCTTTTCCCGCTGTTTCCCCAGTCAGAAGTCTTGTCTCGCCACCCTCAGCTTCCCCTGTCGTGATTCCCTCTCCGTCGTCCACTGTTCCTCCTGTCCCCGATCAACCCCGGACTGTTTCCTCCAAGACTCCTCATGTGTCCCGATCCAAACCTGCCCGGATTCCTCGTCCTAAACCCTCGAACCGTAAACCCAAGACCTCCAGCACTCCCACCCTCCCTGGTCTACCACCTATGAACTTTCTTGTTCCCCCGCCCCCCCTCCCTTGTTTGTTATTTTTATTGATGCATCCCAACCCCATTATTGTATATTCTTGTATGCCGTTGCTTTTATTTGTCATGTTTTATTGGTTTGTGTCTGTTTCCCAGTCTGTCATGTCTCGTGTTTGATGTCCTCTTTTGGAGCGTCTGGTAGCCGCTCCTTAAGGTGGGGGTTCTGTCATGATTCTGCCCTCTTGTCATTTCATTTCTCTAGTCTTGAGGCAGGATCATGACAGACCCATGTTTTGTGTGCAAGCACATGGTCTTGTGTTTTGAGCCATGTGCTTGTGTTGTCTCGTTATGTTACCCCGCCCCCTTGTTATCCTCGTCTCGTCATTATTGTCTAGTCAGTTTCACCTGTCCTTGTCTAGTCAGCTTCACCTGTCTTTGTCTTTAGTGTCTCCCTATATAATCCCCTTGTGTTTGCTGTCCTGTGTCGGTACATTGTCAAACATTGTGAGTTATTCTCTGTGAGTATTTTGTCTGAAACCTGTTTATTGAGAATTGTGAGTTTGTTTCCCGTCAAGTCAGAGTCTTCGTTTGTCATCGTGTCTTAGTCTACCTCCAGTCCTGTTTTGCCCCATCGTGGGTTTTGTTTTCTGTTTTGTCATCATTAAACCCCTTTTGAGTTATTTGCTGTCTGCGCATGGGTTCGTTCCTCCATCCACATGACAGGTTTTAAGTCTCACTTGACGAACAAAGCCTTGATTATCTGGGAATGTCTGAATCACTTTTCCAGTTATCCATGAATTACGTGGTGCTGAATCATCAACCAAAAGCACAATATCACCTGGAACGAAGTTGCGAGATGGAGCTGACCATTTTTGCCGCTCTTGCAGTTGAGGCAAGTACTCCTTTGTCCATCGTTTCCAGAACAGGTCTGATATATATTGCACCTGTTTCCATCGACGACGAGCATATATATCCTCCTTTTGAAAGACCCCTGGTGGCAATGATGGGGTAGTTTTTAACAGCAGCAAATGATTGGGTGTCAGTGCTTCCAAATCATTTGTGTCAGTAGATTCCTTAGTAATGGGACGTCCATTAATAATTGCTTCAGCTTCACATAGAACTGTATGAAGACCTTCTTCGTCAAGGTTTTGTGTTCTTAAGGTGGCATTAAGTACTTTTCTTACAGACCTGATCATTCTTTTCCATATGCCTCCGTGATGTGAACCAGTGGGGGGATTAAAAATCCACTTTATTCCCTTCTGCAGAAGCATGTTGTTGATCTGAGATTGGTTCCAGCATTCAATAGCTTGCCTTAACTCGCGTTCCGCTTCATGAAAATTTGTACCATTGTCAGATTGCATTTCCAAGACCTGTCCACGTCGTGCGATAAATCGTCGTAGTGCATTAATAAAGGAATCAGTATCCAATGATTGTACCACTTCAATATGAATAGCACGAATGGCTAGACATGTGAAGATAACTCCGTATCTCTTCACAATACTTCTCCTGCTCTTAATTTCGAAGGGTCCAAAACAGTCGACTCCGACGTATGTAAATGGAGGTTTATCTGGAGAAACTCTATTCAGAGGTAGGTTTGCCATCTGTTGATGCCCTGGAGCTGCTTGCAAACGCTTGCAGATCACACACTTGGACAATATCTTCCTTATGGCTCCACTGGCGCCAGGTATCCAGTACCTCTGATGCAACCTTGATAGCATATAGTTTCGACCACCATGACCCACCTCTTGATGTATATGTTTAAGAATGAGGTCTGAGATGTGAAAATCCTTAGCAAGTATAACAGGATGTTTTGTCTCTTCAGGCATAACAGCCCTACTCAAACGTCCACCGACTCTTAAAACACCTTCTTCAAGGATGGGATTGAGCTTATAAATGTGACCGTTCTTTTTCACATTTTCTCCCTTTTGCAAGCTTGAGATTTCATCAGAGTATCTTTTTCTTTGGCAGTAACGAATTACCTCTAATTCAGCTTTCTTTAGCTCTACCACGGAAAGCTCACTTTTGGCACATTGTGCCTTGATTTTCTCCATTTCCTCTTTCAAATGTTGTGTTTGTTGGTTTTCGTCTATGCAAGATTGTATTAAAGACATACCCAGTAATTTCCTCTTCTGGCTTAGATTGAGGAGTAATTGCTTAAATCTGAGGATCCAAGCCACTGACTGCTTCAAAAGGGTCCAAGAGGAGAAATACTGGATGAAGTATGTTGTAACATCCATATTCTCTTCTATTTGTACAGCATTGACTGTGACACTTGATTTTATCTCTGGATCATCTAGTGAACATTCCCCCAGGTCAATAAGATTAACTGGCCACTCCTGTTCAGGCGAAAGAAGAAACTGAGGTCCAAGCACCCAATTCTTGTTCTTCAGGAATGATTCCACTCTCAACCCTCTAGAAGCTATATCTGCTGGATTAATTGCAGTGTTCACATACCGCCATTGTGATGATCGAGACACCTTTAGGATTTCGGAAACTCTGTTGGCGACAAATGTTTTGTACCTAGAGACTTCGTTTTTGATATATTTAAGTACAGAAGTACTGTCAGTCCAGAAGACAGAGTCTTGAAAGTCCATGCACAATTCCAATCTCCACACTGAATCCATTCGACTTGCCAGTGTTGCAGCAGTAAGTTCCATTCGAGGGATAGACACCGGCTTCAAAGGAGCTACTCTAGCTTTCCCCATTACAAAGGCGACGTGCGCTTGTGAGTCAACATTATGCAAAAGCAGATACGAAACTACTCCATAACCATCTTCACTTGCGTCGGAAAAGTGGTGTAATTGTGCTGTGCTCACTTCTCCGAAACCCGTTGGTTTGAAACATCTATCGATTTTGAAGTTTTCCAATTCACGCAATCCGTCCAACCACTTGATCCACTCCTGAGCATTTGAAGCAGGAATAATTTCATCCCAGCCTAGTTTCTTCCTGCACAAATCTTGCAAGATCTTTTTTGCATATAAAATCACAGGAGACAAGATTCCTAAAGGATCATAGACAGAACTCATGGTAGCCAGGATCCCTCTTTTGGTCAGAGGTCTTTGCTGCAACACAATCTTAAACTTGAAGGCATCAGATTGTATGCACCATTGTACTCCCAGCACTCTTTCCACTGGAAGTAAATCTTGGTCCAAATCCAAATCCTTCACATTGTTTGCTCTTAATTCCTCTGGAATTTTTGCCAGAACATCTCGATTGTTACTTATCCATTTTGTCAATGAAAAACCTCCTTTCCCACAAATAGCAACAAGGTCGTGATACAGAGAAACAGCCTTCTCATCTGAATTTACTGACAACAGACAGTCATCCACATAAAAACAATGCAAGATTGCTTCAATTACTTCCTTGCTGAAGTCTTTGTTGTCTTCAGCACACCTTCTGAGGGCAAAATTTGCACAACTGGGTGATGAAGTAGCTCCAAAGAGATGCACAACCATACGATGCTCAACCAGGTTTTGAGTAAGGTCACCATCAGGCCACCAAAGAAATCTCAGCATATCTGCATCGTCTTTAGGCACCCTCACCTGATGAAACATGGCTTCAATATCTGCTGTGATCACAACTCTTTCCTTCCTGAATCTGGATATCACTCCAATCAATGAACTGGTGAGATCTGGACCCTGTAACAGTTGGGTATTCAAAGACATCCCTCGAAATGTAGCAGCACAGTCAAATACAACCCGGAGCTTTCCTTTTCGTGGGTGATGGACACCGTGATGGGGTATGTACCATACCTTCCCGTCGCTACGTCCTCCGTTGGCACTCTCTCTGCGTAACCTTTAGAAATAAGGTCTTTCATGAAAACAGAATATTCAGAATGAAACGAAACATCCTTTTTCAACCTTTTCTTTAGGTTCAGAGCACGCTGGTCCGCAATTGTCCTGTTGTCTGGGATACAAACATGTTTCTTCCTCAAAGGTAAGCCAATTGAATAATGACCATCTACAAGCTTTAATGAGTTTTTTACCATCTTAATGAACTTGTGATCTTCTCTTGAAAACCCAACTTGTTCGTTTTTGTTACACTCAGGAAAATCAACCTTGAATTGTTGTTGCCAAAGCTCTCCCAAGTTTGAAATTGAAATCCTGTTAACTGTAACATCAGGATACTCAAAGGCAGACTGGTCACCACCATCTCCTCTTAGTGGACCATTTACGGTCCATCCCAACCTGGTCTTAATTGCATATGGTCCATTATTGACACTGCAGATCACTTGAATTGGCTCCATAACCCTTGGGGCGTTGATTCCTATAAGCAATTCAACCTCAGAGTCAATTTCAGGTAGAGTCACATGTTTCAGATGTGGCCATCTCTTTAGATCCTTTTGTCTTGGGATGTTTCCACTATGCACAGGCATGGTATTTTGTGTATAGGTGTCAGGCAACTCCCAAAAGTCATCTTTGTTCAAACCAGCCACCTCTAATCCAGAAACAACATGGGTAGTTGTGACTTTCTCCTGTCCCATAGTACGCAAGAGAATATTAGTTTTTTTACCTGAAAGACCAAGTCTGTTCATCAGTGCAGGTGTACAAAATACTG